ACTTTGGCATCAATAGGCACTCGAGGGAGGAGATGTCCTGTGTACCAAAGTGTATGTTTGTGTTGCAAATTGTATGTTGTGCTGTATGTGACTGATAAAAGATCTTGCCTAACATAAAAGCTGGTCCCAGCCCCAATAAATCTGGAATAAATTGGGAGAAAGCATGTTATGTTATGACTGGCGTATCTGTGAGCGCTGAGCTCTACTTGAGAATTAGACTTAAAAGTTTGCAAAGCCCCAGTGCTGATGTCATTGCCTTGGAATGGGAAGGCCGTTGAAACAGTAAATACTGTCTGTGGCCAGAAGCTAAGTATTGAGCTGGACCTCTTCCTTTCTGTGAAGGAAAGAATGCAGAACAAACCTAAAATCTGTAGTTGCAATGGGAAAATCTTAATTAGTTTAGAGCTTGTAGCTATTTCAAACCATTTACATACACAGCTGCCGTTCATGCAAACATGAAAACTATTCATGGAAACTTCAAGCTTACCTTGAAATGGCAAGTTTTCTTTTTCTGTTTTTTAAAGCTGTTTTGGTTTCCAAAAGTATTGTTGGAAAGGTCTGAAAATTTATTTGTACTGTACGTGCAGGAAGGAACATAGACATAGGCTAGCAGAAGCATATAATAAGAGGCTTTAGTTCAACAAGAATTAACACAGAAACACTGTTAGTACCAAACAGCTGCTGCTGGGAAAGTATTTCTTGTTTTTCCGGGGCATTTACTCTTGTGATATCTATGGAGTTTTGGTTATGACCCAAAAACTTTCACCCGGGACCAGGGGAAAAGTTGATGATGAAAACACAAGTTTAGATGTGGTCTAGGTTTTACAGCTAGGTCTTTTCTGCTGCAAAAGGTTAACCCAAAACACTGGATCCAAATAACCCACAGCTTGGGAATGAGAGTCTGATTTTTTAGCTTGGGACAGCCCTAAAATCTCAGCAATGCAGGGTGACTCGGAGCTTTGTCCTGGCCCTCGGAGGGCTCCGTTAAGCTTTGCAAGGAATTTATCCCCACCCCCAGCTTCCTCCGAGGATGCAGAAGTTTTGCCCTGGCAGATGCAGGGACCAGATGTTAGGGGGAGAAGTTAAGAAGGGACAATGACCTGAAGTGTTAGTTGGGATCTTCCTTGACATGGCTGAACTTCTGTTCCCAGTGTCAAATAGGGGAAGCAGCTCGTGTTGGCTGCTTGTCTCTGCAAACTGCCCTGTTAGTTTGGAGAGCGAGATACACAAAGCTTTTATTTATTAGTATCACATACTCGGTGCTCTATTAGCTGAGGAAAAGGAAGGATGAGATTAAAAGCAAATCAGCTGTCCATTAGTYGAGGGCAGTGCTAAGTCAGTGAATCACCCCTACCTAGCCCTTTTCCCATGCAGTTGAAGGTATTTTTTTCCATATTTTATCCTGTGTTTAACTTGGAGCTTCCTTTTCCATTGCCCTCTCGTTCTGCACCTGTGACACGACGTCAGTGACATCTCTGGGGTGCATAAGCTTCTCATCCCCAAATGTCCCATCTAGCACAACAGTGCTCTGTGGGTGATGCTCAGTAATGACCTAGGCATTACTGGGAGAGAAAAAGGGGTTTTCAACTCTTATCATCAGCCCAGGGCACATAAGATGCTTTTCTTCTCCCTACTCTTTTCCATTTCAAAAGGGCTTCTGTTCCATGTTGGTTTGTGAGAAGGACTTTGAGCTTGGTGCTTGATGTGGTACAAGAGGGGTTGGTAGCTAAGACCACCTTTCTGTGGAGGGAAAGATTTATGGCAAGTCGAGTTGTCTGTAGGTTAGTCTGACTCAGCCTGTGAATAATTCTGTTCTTTTTACTGAAAGKAGACCAAGCATCCCTAGTCTGAGAGTGTTTTATGGCTTATGGAATGGGAAATACTACAAGAATGGAACTAYTCTGTGAGCCACTTTCTATCTCAAAATTGGTAGCTTTGGTTTTGTTGACAAGCTTTTCCATTGGACAATTTAGCACTGATTTTGGTTTGAGCAGGAGGTTGGGCTGGATGACCTCATCATGTTTCCTTCCAATCTGACTTATTCTCYAATTCAAGGCATTCATTATGTTTAATTTTAATCAAATACTTTGTATTTGCTCTATTTTCACAGGTAGTGCACTACCTATTAATTTAGAGGTTTTATTTTAATCGTCCTTTCTGTGTGGTACAGTGATTTTCAGAGTTTGTGGTGAAAGATGCTTCTTAACATAAAATCTGCTCTCATCCTTTGTTGTTTTGGTAATACTGTTCATGGTATTAGCAAACAGCAASACATGCAGCTGGTCTCTAGGTAGATTTATGTGCGGGAAATGCCATGAATGAATGATCAGTTGTGCCTGTCCAGTTTCATGTGCGAACACAGGAGGTTCAACATGAGGGACCTCCRGTGTAGTTGGTCAGCACACGTACATCATCTGACAGGTCTTACTCTTGAGAAAAGGTGAAGCAAAGCCCTTCCATATGCATGTTACTGTAGTCCTGGTCTATGTGTCAAGCTGTCTAGGCCATGAGGAKCACATTTACATTTAATTATTAATTGTTCTTTGTATTCTCACTGTCACCTTAGTTCTGTCATTGTCCCGTTCCCTCTGTACCATTATCTCCCCCCATAATCTTTGAGGAGATGTCAGTTGTCTTCTGTCACCAGGTTATCTGTATGAATYGTTGTGATCATAAGCGGCCGTGGCYGAAGGCTGCTGCGTATTTGGGACTCAAAGCCCTACCTCTGAACAGGTTACATTCTTGGAGAATTAACAGCAAAAATGTCCATGTTCACACTCCCAATTCCTGTGCATTTTAAAAACACATTTGACAGGGATACCCTATTCCCTTAGGTCTTAAAGTCAGTTCCAGTATTTGCAGTGGTCTGAACCTTCAGCCCTGACCTGCACTCGTTGCTTTGCAAAGTGATCGTTTTTCACGGGAGAGGAAAGTGAGATTTCTTCAGGCTTTAGAGTTTATTTTCCTCTCTCACTCAGTGCGACACAGATAGCATCCTTGCTAGAAAGCAGAGGGAGGAGAGCAAATTCAGTCCACATGTTTGGGATTTTAGGTTGGGAATGATTCATGCTCAGCTCCTGGGGGTTGTAATTAGGGGTGACATAATAACCATAAACTTTCAATAGAATAGTAGCAGCATTTTGTTATGCTCTGGAACTGCAGAAGCTGCTTCTTATTAACGTCCTTTCGAGATAAGCCTACAAGACCTCCAGAATTTCCAGGTCTGGGTCCAAGCTTTGGTGGCACAATTCTGCCTCTCTCATAGCACTGAGAGGAACCTGAGTTCTGAAAACCCCTAAACTTTGACATTTTTATTTGGTTCAACATCTCAGCCTTTTCCTTAGTAATCCGGGTCCCTCTGGCTACTTTTCAAGTGAGATTTATCTTATGCTGGCTGCATGATGCTAGTTTATACACCGAATTAATACCCTCTCAGGGTGATCAATTGTGGAAAAAGACAGTCACGCAGTCCTCCTGCTCCGAGTTATTCCTGCGTTTTCGTTTGTGGAGTGGCTCAGAGCAAAGGCCTTCAGGAAGGCGCGACGCGGGGAGAGCTGCCGTTCCCGCCTGGCACCGCGGTGCATTCCTTACGGGAGAGAAGGGCATTTACACTGGAACTCAGCCACCAGCATCCAGCCAGCTTTGCTTTTTGGCATCCCGGCACATGGAATTTTCAAAAAAGCAGGGATGCTTTTTTCAAAAGCAGGTCACAGACAAAAATAAAGCCACGTTCTTCAGCTAGGAGAAGTAGGTCAGGCTTTGGGGGGATCGTTTGGGAAAGCTGCGGATCTGATCTTTCCAGTTTATTAATATTTTTAGCTTCTTGAGCCAAAATTTTACTCTCTTTATACAGAGACCCTGCTCATTTTGGTTTAGGTGTATGCTTGTCGTATTCGTCTGCTTTGGCTAGCAAACTTTTTAATATTATGATTAAAAGACAAAAAAATGTTCCTCATTTTCCATGAAGGAATGCTCTAGTGGAAAATGAGGCCTCTCTATGCTGTGGTCCAAAAGGGATAAAGCTGCTCTGTGTCACCTCATTATTCTCAGCTCATGTTTTACCTCGGGACGTTTTGGGAAGGGTTTTAGACCGATTCCACTGCTCAGCTCATCATTTTTGCAGCACCTYTTTGTGCTCCAAAGAATCCAGCTTATTTTTGCTAACTTGTTCACACCCTGTTGTTTAATTAGGCCGCGTGTCGACCCCTGTAAGAGCCACCACACTGGGTGCAGGGGTCAGGGAGGGAATTGGCTGTAACAGCTCATCCCACTGACCGAGCCTGCAAGAAACGACTCCTTGGAGAGCCGGGAGGCTGTTACGAAAGCCTTGACCATTAAACGATAATCCCATTTCAAGACAGATTGTTGCACGGTTGGTGAGCTGCTCGGCAGCTGTTCCGGCGTGCCCAGGATCTCAGCGTGGGGATGGGCACCCTGCTCAGCTGGCCGGGCATGAAGCCCATTCATCACCTCCGTAACACCGGGTGTGATGCTCGTTTGTGTGATGGAGTGAGGGTGCCCGTAGTTATCAAACCAGGATTTGGTTCCGCAGGGATTGAGCTGCGCAAACCCCTGGGCCTCTTCCACAGACAGTCTTTGCATCCAGGATCTTTTTGCTCCGTCAAGCCAAATTTTAGTCGATAGCCCACTTTGTGGAGGACAGCCCTGCAAGAAATCCCACCTTTCTGAATGGCTGCAGCTATGTGTCGTTTCCTTCCCTCTTTGCTCTGTGTTGTGACACTTTTACTATGAATTTATGCAACTGCACACATTAAATTCCCAATAGCAAAACAATTGGCACTTACATACAGATAATCACTATCTCCTCTGTTTACAACTTCCTGAAGGAATATTGATATAGGTGACACTTTTGTTTAATGGTGGTAATTTATTTTTGTTCCTTTTTCCACATTCTCTATTTTACAGAATATGATTCAGAAACAAAAAGGGTTCAAGACATTCTTTCTGGAATGGAGAAGCCACAGGTATGTGATCCAGAATTATGTGTACAATAAAAAAACAGCAAATTTGATAAGTGCATTTGGCCCTGCTTGASGGGGGATTTCATAAGGGAGCATCTCTGAATTTTTACTTGCTCAATTGTTGCTTCTGTATATTTTTATCTAATTCACTTTGCAGGGATGTAGTCAGTGGGTGTAAWTTCTAAGTATATTCTCTGCTGAGGGAATGTCTGGCTTCTGCCTGCTGCAAAACTGCACCAGTCACCTGCATGCAGGAGGAGACTCTCAGCATTGACAGTGGTGATGATTTACACAGCTCCTCTCCCCATGGGTTTAATGTTATTTGTCATAAGCAATTGACTTTTATAATCATGATTAAATTAAGCTAATTCTGTTATTCAGTGGCAATTATTATGTTTGAGTTTGTCTTAAGCAAAAGAAAGCACATGAATTGCAATGGAAAGTCAATCTCTATAAAATAACCTTAATCCTAGGCAAGCAGGGTTATTAATAAATCTGGTTGTAAGGTCTGTGTGTGATCTTTTCCTAGTTGGGGTCAAAAGAAAAACCAGGAGGGGATTGTGGATCTAAATAAATAGTTCAAGCAAACACTTGAAGAAATGAGGCAGTGAGAGAAACTTTGAGAATCTCTATCCTTCGCCCTGAAAACAGGAAAGGCTTTTTCTGTCAGGCTGGAAGCCTAGGAAGCAAATGAACAGATAAGAGGTTGAATAGTTAGAACGTTCTTAAAAGGGCTGAGCTCAGTAGCAAGCGAACAACTGAAGGGAAGATATTGGCAGTGGAAGTTTGAGGAAGTGGTGATAGCTACGATGCCTATGGGACGTATGTGAYGGACAGACTCGCAGGAGCCCAAACTCCTCAATATCCATGGGGATTTTTGTCAGAAACTGCAGGATTAGGCCCGGAGTTCAAAAGGGAAACCTTGACCGAGCGATGACCATGAATTCGCTGGGTCCCCGGCCTGTCGCTTGCACAAAGCAGCAGCCAGTGCCCGTGAGCCCAGCCCAGCATCGGAGGGATGATGCAACTTGTGCAGAAACGGTGCTCAGCACCCAGGAGCACCTACAGACCTTGGCAGAAATTCCTTAGTGAAGTTAAGTGGTTGCTTGACCATTAAGCAAGATTTTGAAGACACACACATATGTATGTACACACACGGTCTGTATAGTTTTGTGTTTGCTGTTTCGTACAGCCTCACCCTCACTTGCTGCAGCTTAGCGTGGGTACTCAGCACAGCTCAGAATTGAATTTAATGATCTAATGTGTTTATTTAAAAGCCTGCATTAGCAGTTTGGTGTGTAAAACCACCAAAACAGGTCTGCAGCAGCTCTGAAGCTGCTATCAGTAGCAGTTCAAAGGTGCAGGTGGGGAAACGCTGTGCTYGGGAGCAGCTCCCGACTCTTATCCCTGGGTGCAAATGCTCCTGCACTCTGTTAGAAGGCTAGCAGGCCGTTTTTATGGGTTTTAAAGTCTTATTTTAAGAAACATCAATAGACCTCTTGGAGATAGCTGGAGTTCATGAAAGGCCAGGGTTTTTGCCATRTGCAGAATATACATACGTGTGTCCTCGGGAGTAGTCCTAGAGAAAAACATTGCAGTAGAACATTGGCAGGATAGCACGCCTCGAGCTCCAAGTCCGTCTGAATTTATGAAAAACAATTATGCAAGCATATTTCCATAAAAATAAAAGAAACTACAYGTTCATGGGTTCAGCTGGTAAATAGTAGTAATGTTTGTTAAAAGAAATTCTGATCTGGATCTGTTTATTACCCAATTCTGACCTATTCTGTACACTATATGAAATGTGGATTTTTAGCTTCAAATGTCTTTGTCACAACTAGAGTTATTCCTATATATATAAATATACACACATACATATCTATGGTATTTCCCTTTTTGCTTATTTGAAAAATTCAGAAATTTTATAGATAGATTATCTAAAATCAGTTTTTACTGGTGCAAGTTTTGAAGGGAACATTGATTTCCTAGCAGCAGAAAAATGTGACTAGAGCAAGAACTATGTGTACCAGAATTTGCATGCTCATATTTTTAATGAAAAAAAGATTGCTACTAGTTAACCTCTTGTTTTACAAGTTGTTTTTCATATTACATTGAACAGAAGTTTTCTTTTTGGCAAGACTAAGTGCTGCAATAAATAAAAGCCTTTCACTTTTGAGAGCACAGCGTTGAAGCAAAGATGAGACACTTTGTGGTTTCACCTACTTGTCATTATGTTCAAAACATAGATTTATGACTTGCTTAGGAAGCATGTGCTTGGTCTATCAGTATCGCATACAGCAGAGTGCTTTTCAGCTGGAAGCAATGTGGTTTTGTATGAGAAATTAAATATTCTGCAGCGTACATGTGTTTAAGGACATCCAGAAGCCTGACTTGTAAGGAAGCAGGCTTTAAAGCTGATCTTCCATCCCCTTGCTGGGCAGTGGTCTCGCAGAACCGCTCACTGAAGCCACTCTTCTGCACCCGCGTGTGATGAAGGATGTTGCTGGCAACCAGCCTGTGGGTTTCAGCTCTGTCCACCTACAGTTATTTGGTCCAGTGTTTCCAGAACAGCCACGCCGTGACAGAGCTGCTGTGGTGATGCGACAGGAGACGTTTTCCATGGTTTCCCTCGAAGGGAATCTTGGCCCATCTACCGTTTAGATCCCCCTGCAGAGCTGCCCCAGCGGTGATGATGGGTCGGAAATGCCCCCTTTCTGTCAGGATGTGAAGGGATTGATTTGGGATTTAATTTTTTATCAGCAAGTCAGACTTTTAATGCGATCCTTCCCTTGGCTTCTGAGACAGCGTAACTTAGGAGATACTTGAATTATTGCAGCTTGGAATTACCAGAAGGAGCAGAATGAGTAAAAATGCAGTTGTTGCCTTTTTCAAGAATCTCACTTAACAGAAGATTTGGGAAAATAACTGCAGACAAGAAAATCTATAGAATGAAGCCATTGTTCCTCTTATTTCCTTTTGCTTTTTGATAATGGCCACAAGAGAAGTATAAGTTAAAAGTGGTGCAAGGAATACTTTAAGGAACCCTTAGGCACGAAGTATCCATCTCTCTTTGGGGAGTGAATCTCTATTCCTCACGTGTTAGGTGGTCGTTTATTTTGTGAATACTTTTGCCTTTTTTATGACCATTTCTAATTTTACTTTTCACCCCTAGCTCTGAAATTTCTTGCTGTTCATAAGAAATTCATCATGAATCATCCAAACAAAAAGCAAAGATTTTAAAGACAACCTTGTTGTTGAATTTGGAGTAACTAATGTTTCTCTTATAGGTCACAAATATTCAAGCAAGAACAGCTTTACTTACGTGGTCACCTCCCACCGGCCTTTTAAATGCAGATAGACACAACGGTTTGCCTTACACTTGTACTTACGAGGTTGCCTTATCAGATAAAGGGAGGGATGGAAAATACAAGATAATTTACAGGTAATGGTATCRTTTTTACACTTGTGCTACTCTCAGATTGTGCTGTCATTGGAAGGAATTTCTCTTACCTTTGAGGATGTGGGCATCCCCAACCATTAAAAGAAGAAAGATGTGTCCCAGCCACCTGTAATTCCTTCTACTCCCCTAGATCCTCAGGATGGATCTCAGTGATCATCTGAGCTTATTTTTGTGATCAAGTACATATGKTTTTCTTTTTTCTCCTCTACTGATGTCTAAGATACAAAACCGATATGTGACCTTGGCTGTTGTGACTATTTGTTATTTCCAATATTTCAATAAAATAATGACTAAACTCAGCAGACACATGAGGTGAGTGTTCCTTTATTAAGCATTGACCCACACCGTACCTGTCATAACAACACACGAGTCAGTCTTGTCTTTATTTACACAGACAAGCTGGAGGARCAAGAACAACCCTGAACTACACTGACTACATTTTGTGCTGTTGCTTCCTAGAATGTCTGAAAATCAGTTCTGCTTTTCTTACTTTKGAAGAGAGTTCTGTCAGAGGGTTAATTGCGCATCTCCTTGCCATGGTACCGTGGCAAATGGGGTCTGGAAGAGAGAACAAAACAGTTGTGCAACAAACTACATTTTAGCTATGAAGTTTCCCCCTCTCATTTTTTTAAGGTAGTTTGAAATACTAAATATGCAAGAAGTACAACAGTAACGTTGTATTTATTCAGCTCCTTTCAACTGTGAGAAGGTGGAAAAATGCAAGAAGCTTTATGTGAGTATCAGCAGATGTAAGGATAGCCTTTAAATTATCCTATATAGTTAGCTGAATTCATAGACTAGGATCATAGGTGCTCTGCAGATCAGGCCTTGTAGGGGTTTCCAGAAACCTGAAGTGCATTGATAGATCAGTCCTGTATTTCTTACTGTTATTTTTCTGTGATTTTTTTTTCCCAAGTCATAGTATGTAGGAGCCCCTAGTCACCGGCAAATCAATAGCTGCACTAAATGCAATGCTGCTTTTCATGATGTGTTTATGGTTTCTTTCTGCAGTGGAGAAGAACTAGAATATAACCTGAGAGACCTTAGGCCAGCAACAGATTATCATGTCAGGTGAGTTGGCGTGACTGCGAATGTCACTTAAATATGAGGTATATGAGAATAAATGTGGATTTTTTTAAAATCTAAATATAGGCAGCACAACTCAAGATTTTTGTGGTCACCTCTGTGGGATTTCTTTCATGCCTCCTAGCATTTGTTGATCYGTTTTATCTTAGGCTCAAAGCTATGAGAGAGCTTTGTGAACCTGAACTTTTCTGTTGTATTGTTATTGTTGTCAAAGGAAGGGTAAGGAAGTCTCTACCTATACTTGCATTCATTGCACAACTATTAACACATTCTGAATTTTAAGCCTGGATATTTTTAATACCAGCTTTTTATTGTTTATTGCATCTTTAAAAGATTTTGCTCATGAACCAAGGCTTCAAATTCACATCCTGTCCACTTATGCTCAATAGCCTTTAAAAAATTCCTTTCCTTTCTCTCCTGTCTATTGTTTCCTTCTGTTTTTCTAGACAAGCTCTAAGTTTGGCAAACATTTTCTCATCAAGGCTGCTACCGTTTGTAATACTTTGGAAAGCAAACACTTYGCTTCTGAGCTCTTAAAAAAAACCCAAAAGTCGTATTTTCTCTATKACCATAGTTTCTTTTTAAGAACGTTTTTAATGCACTTTTCAAGGAGAAGCTGAAGACCTTAGGTACCTTTTAAGTAGGTAAAACATGAAGATGCAAGCAAGAAAGTTGTAAAACTGCTGAGCTTCCTGCCGTAAACAATTAAGCTTAGTTTTTAAAGCAAGCTTCTGACAGCRACGTGGTACCTACATACAGGGCACTGTGGAGATCTCACACAATTTTTAATGGTGCTTGGGGTATTTGCCCTATATCCTGCCTAACTTCCAAATCAGCCCGTTCTGTCCATGTGCAGTTCCCTGTATTTATCTGCATGTTTGCCAAATTATAACTCATTTGTGAACACTTAGCAGTAACTTTAGTTTAGAAAGAATAAGCGACTGACAGTGATGGAAGTTGAACGTAAAAGCAGCAGCACACATTTGCAGTAGGGAAACCTGCATTTAAATTGGAGAGTTTTTTCTATTTTTCTCTCCTATTAAAACTCTAGTTTGCATTAACAACTCTGAAGAAATAAATCTGCTAAGTAAATAAATTTGTGACCAACCGTTACAGATCTTCTTGGACCTCTTTAATCCCGGCAGCATCTCTAAGGACTGCTGCTTTTCGCACAGATAAACTGCTTGGGGCTTGTTGCCACCGTTCAAGGGCCTAGACAYTTGGGACAACCTGCTTCCCTATGAATCCCACACCGCTTCAAGTTATCTGGGTGGTTACAGAGGTGATTCTGCTCATCTTTTGGAGGGCCCATCAGTCTCTTTTATGCTTAAACCTTTAATCTCCCGAGAGGCCCCTATTGCGCAAGGAATTCTGCCACAGGAATTCCAGAGCTGCTTATTTCCAGGACACTTGTTTTCCTCCCTTTTTCAGGAGCTTGTATTACACCCCAGAGTAAGCAGTAGCGTTGCAGTAATGAACACTGACAAGCCAAGCTCAGGTACCACGGCAACGTCCAACAGGCAGAAGCAAAAATGCAATTTCCTCTTGACTTGTTCTTGTTAAACTCATTTTTTATGTGGCTGTGTTCCCCAGTGATGGGTCTGTGACTCGGAGCTGCACCGGGTTCCGGGACACATGCATACGGTGTATCCAGTTGCCAGATGCAGACTCAGTTAATTAATTGCATTTGTTTTCGCTCTCGGCTGCTAACAGGAGATGTATAAAGCAGCACTACATGATATTTCCACCGAGGGCAAGCAGCTCTTGTGAATTCCCCCCAAAGGTTTACTTCCATGTAGGTGGCCACTGCACATAAATTACTCTTATCTACTGAAAACAAATTAGAAATTGCCCTTTCTTAAACTCTACATTCAAGCACACAATAGCTGCAGCCAGCCCTGAGGTCACTGTCTGGGCACAGTGCGAATGTTTTGTGAGTCCAAGACTTGCAACTCGCACTTTCCTTTTGCTGTGCAGAAAATGTGACAGGAAAAATAACATCATTAATTTTCATGGAAAAGCACCTGATGAGGAGGTGCACAAATACACTGTACTTGTTTTCCCATGTTAGTTTGCAGTGTATCCCTTTTTCGCTGATATTAAGGGATTTACTTGAAATCGAAATTTTTAGTTTATCAAAGGAGTGTTTTGGAGCTATATATATTACAGTGTTTTTAAATCACAGAGGTCTGCTGAATATTGACACAGGAAAAACTTGTACCTATGGAAGGGCAGCAGCAACAGCCATCACTAAAAGTGGTACCTGCACATCAAATCTAAGCAGGGCATTAACGTTYACACCTTTTCCTCATGAGCTCAGACTTGCTGTTGTTATTGAAGAGGACGTGAGTGCATGAAGTGCTGCCAAGAGCCATGGGAAGAGCGGCAGGGACTTGGTGCAGTCAAAAGAAAAGCTGACGGTGACTCAGCTGCCTGTGGAGCAGTTGCACAAGACCCCATCATGATCATCTGCTGTCACTGTGGTTTTTTGCAGTTAAGAGTAGTGGTAGCCACTGGTCTGGGAGAAATCTGTCATTAGTGGGTGTCATAGGGGTTACTTTGGCAGTGGAATACTGTGCTGGAGTTTATGACACATTTATAACGTGTGTATGTGTGTCCTACGCAGGGTATACGTAATATACAACGCRGTCAAGGGCCCGTGCTCGGAGCCGGTGAGCTTCACCACGCCGAGCTGCGCCCCGGAGCCTCCCTTCCCACCCAAACCCTCGCACCGGACCAAAAGCTCCCTCACCTTGCAGTGGAAGGTAGGTAACGCCAGCATCAGGCACTTGAAAAAGGAGGGAGAAATCCACTTTTCTGGCATAAGCACGGAAACTAATGGAAAGCCGAGACAGCCGTTTTCCAGGATAAGAGACCTGAACTCGCTGTGYTCCGATGAATGCCTTCCCATGCGCTGACTTAACGCGTGACTTTTAAAAAGTGTGCGTTTCATTACCCTTAGCTTTGGTCTCACTGCAGACTATAGACATTTGCCTGAGGGGGAAGTAGTTTTCTCTTATTCCCAAAATCGCCTTTTGTTTATTTTTGTTCATAGGCACCCATTGATAATGGTTCAAAAATCACCAGCTACCTTCTAGAGTGGGATGAGGTAAGTAGTAACTAGTTGAAATAAATACATAAATAAATGGCACTCAGACTTTACAGGGATTTGACGGGTAAAGAAAAATAATTAAATAGAGGGGAAACTAAAAGTAAGAAAATGAAATCCTGATGACATTAGATAAAGATCTCGAAAGGCGAAAGGGGAATGAGGGGAATATTTTTCATCCGGTGTGTTTTTTGCAAAGACAATATTCTGTATCTGCATGCTTGAAACTTAACTTTTTAGTGCTCATTTGGTGCAGTCAATTTGTTAATTGGCATTACACATTGTTCAGTTATTTACCTTGTGATGGAGCTTAGAGTTCTRTTCACACTCTCCTTCCACATGCTGTATAAGCGCGAAATAAAGCCCTGTTCCTGCCTCAAAGGAGATGAGGATCTTGCAGTCCTTTTTATAGGAAATACATATAAGGTCCAAAAATTGTTGTCCATTACGTATGAGCAATGAGTCCTCTTACAGAAACAACGCAAAATAAGTTCTGTGCCCCAAAGATGGATCTTCTCCCTCTATTTCCCTTACACCTTCTTTCCGTTGCACAAGCCATGTTTCTGCGTCAAGCCTAAGTCAGTGAACATCATCACTGAAGGAAAAAARATATGTATTGGATGACAGACCTAGCTTGAGCAACGTGTTTAGAAAGAACAAAAATTAAAAGGGTAAGTGTGGAAGGGTGTTAGTTGTGCAGTCTGATAAATCTCTCTTGAGGTCTTTAGTATTTTTCAGGTAGTGTTTTAAGAGGGGTATTATGTTCTGAAGCAGGTTCCCAGACTGTTCTGGTGCAAGTCTGACATTAGGGACCGCACACTGTGCAAACATTTGGTGTATGCGGCGCCGCAGCAAGGGGGACCGGCATGGTGAGAAACCCGCTGAACTCAACCAAAAGCAACCAGCGGCTTAAGAATGGCCTGCTGCCCCTGTCTGAGTAATGCAGCGAGAGGTTGTCACGGAAAAAGAAAAAAGGATGAAATACGACATCTCAGGAAGGGAATAATGAAAAAAATCTCCATAAGAGTAGGACAAGTTAATCAGAGATGGAAGCCTTGAACCTACTGTACCTTCTGTGGCATCTAGATTGTGCATTTGTTTTCTCTTGCAAGGCTTCCATAGCTTCCATGGGGAGATAATACCAAAGGGGATGTAGTAGTGGAAATGTGCAAAGGGAAAGAAAGCAACAGAAAGTCCTGTCAGAAGAGAGACCCATAACAAACCATTAACAGTGCATGTGCTTTGAGTGTTATTTTTTCCACTTGCAACCCAATCAAAACCTTGAAGTTCTGTATTTATTATTTTCTCAGTAGCAATCTTGAAATTTGAGACCCTAGTTCTCAAATTGAGAGACCCTAGGAACTTCTGAAGTAGCTGAAGTCACTGCATGCAGGCCCAGAAGAGCTTTTCCRTGTTGTGTCCCGTGCCCTTTGGTAGGGTTATGTAAAGAACATGTAAGCAAAAGCAGCAACTTGGTTACAGGGCCACGCTGTGTCCTGGTGACATGAAGAACGAAATACGTCCAGGAGGAGGAAAATGCTCYCAAGCTATGGTGGAAGCTCCACCAGCTCCCAGCAAGAGCGGCGCTCCTTAGCTGCAGGGCACAGAATTAAATACAAACCCAGGGAAAAAGGTGATCAGAGGGAAATTAAATTGTGCCTGCAAAGCAGAGGGAGCTCTTCAGGAATGGAAAACAAGTCTATCTGCTGATAATATCTGTCCACTAATAATCTACCTGCTAATAATAGCATGAGGGWGTGATATGTTATAGCTGTGGGGTTAGGGGGAGTTGCAAACTGGAGCAAGAGGACGGTGTCTAATCCCTTGGTGGCTGCAGCCCCTGGAACTGCCGGCGCTGAGTGTTTAAAATGCCAGCTTGTCATTAGGGGATCTCGTTAGGACTCGGCCATGGTGCATTCCCACCGCGTGCCTTGCTGCGGGATGGGCGCACAGCTCCGAGAGTGCTCAAAGAGCATGGAAAGGTCTTCAAAAAGGAGCTCATCAGTGCATCTAGCATGTGCTGTTTTCGTTGGAGCTGCACAGATTCGGTGTGTTGCTGTGGAAAAGGCTCGTTCGGTGCTTCATTTCTGCAGGTGTTTCGGGAGCCCACGCAGAGCCCGAGACCTGAGCAACCTTCTCCTGGTGGCTGACCTCGGGCTGCCTGTCAGCGAGAGGGATGAGTTGGTGTAAAGACGTTTCCCCTTGGAGTTTTACTGGTGATGAGGCTTGAGTTATCTCCGCAAGTAACTGGTTTGCTTGGTTTCTGGAGTTTGTTAGGGTTTTATTTCTCCTCTGTGCTAAAAATCCTCTTTGAGCTCAATAGCTGAGCTTTAGCAGAAGCACACGTGAGTTGTGTTTGTTGCTGTATTGCAACAGATATCTATATAGTCTGATCTGCTTTGGATGAAGAGACTGTTGCATTGTGTGAATTTTACTCAGCTTTTTTTTGTTCTTCAGCTCAGTCCTAAGTTGTTTGGTTTTTGTTTTCCCCTGACCTGCCAACCCCAGCAAATAGCGTGGCAGAAATTCCTGCCCTTCTGTCCTCTCCCCTCCCAGTTTGTATAAGGTTGCTTGTAATACAACCAGTGTTAACTTGTTATTTACAAGATGCAAAGTTGACTTGCTTTCTCAGCACCAAAACAGGTCTTTGAACTACTCTTCTAATGCCTTGCTAATAAACTCTTTTAGCTTAAACGGCCTAAAGAACTAGGGTGAACAGGCTTTAACTGCAGAATAAAAGATCAGTTTAGTGACTGGTCTTCCAGGGAAACTGAATGTACAGTATCAAAGTTTTTGTGACTTCAAAGGGTTTGGAAACAGCCCCTCCTCTCAAGTATTTTGGAGGTCAGTGAGATCCGGAAACCTCAAGTGTTTAGCAGTGGTGCGGCTGGCCACGGCTTCACTTAGAAGTAGCAATTAAGGAAATCTTCACCTTCTGCCTCTSCTTTGTGTGCGTGTTTCTCTTTGAACTTACAAGCTAGGAGTGGGCACTTGACAACTTTGYGCCAATATTGATCAACTGGCGCAAAGAAAAGGCTGATCAGAAAAAAGTATATTAAAAAATACCTGACGGAAAACGTCACTATGGAGGATGTGATGCTTTCTTCCTGATTGCAGTGTTCAAACAATCCGTGGTTTATAACTGTAGTGTGCTCCTGGCATGGGTGCAAGAATGAGGCTTTTGTTCCTAATTAGATATGAAATGATCTTTCTGTGGTTAAGTGGTGGTACAAAAAGGGTTCTCCTGGGTGAACGGGTAACGAGAGTCTGCTATTCATTTTCTATGGGAAARTATTGCTCCAGAGGCAGCAATAGGGGCATCTATCCCATGCACTTTTGCTTTCCAGATATAACTCAAAAGCAGTTCTAATTCTGAGGTGACAAACATTCATTTTTGTTTGCACAGGACTGATGCAGATACATTACCTGAGAATATAATGATTTGGTGGTGAAAAGTTAATAGTTTGTATATAAATAGCTGGAGATTAAAAAGCTTTAAATTTCTTGAGACTAGCAGGAATAGGTTAAATTGCACTGTCTGACAGTCTGGTCCGTGTATCTGYGTGATGATCCAGCATAATTCAGAGTTCCCCTCTCATGCTCAGGCTGTATTTGTTTGCCCTGCAGCTCTGTTCTCTGGCTATGTCACTGATATTAGACATGCAAGAAGGGTATCTCACGTTATATTTAATGCCTAGGGCTGTCTCATAGGTTCTCTTCTGTTTTCTGTATATATAGAAAATGTAGTCATTTATCAAAAAAAAAAAAAAAAAAGACCAGCTCAGTACATGTTTTGCAGTGATATTAAGGTACTYTATAATAGCCATTGGCAATTTGTTCCACAGCTCAGTGTCAGATTGAATATCAGTCTGTTGCTTTTTATTGCCAGCGTGAACCAAACAGAAGTTAGTGCTAGTAGGGCCTGGAAAAGATGACCAGCCGGCCTCGCGCTCGCAGTTCTGTGCTGGCAGCCTCTACTCCCTCTTTTGTGAGGCACTGTGCTCTGCTTCTGTATCCACTCTACCTGCAATGGCTTATTCTTTATTTAGTGTTCACTGCTCTGTGTTTAGTGTCTGCTCTGTGGAGTACAGTCAATAGAATCTGTTGAAGATCTCATAACCACTATCTAAATACGTTTTTGGATGGTCTCTGCAAGGGAGAGTTGAGCACTCTGCTTTAAGGGACTAGTTACATATAAGTGCAATGGCAGGTGGGACGTTTTTTCTATACTGTGTTATAGTATTGTGCAAATTCTAGTGGATTTGTGGAGCTGGACTTGTTTCCTTGTCCTGGTGTTCCCACAGTATGTTGARCATCAACAAGACTGCGGGACTGGAGAAGGCAGGACTGGTAGGAGGGCAGTCAGTGTCTGCTTTCCATCTGAAACTTGAGGATTAGAAATATTTGAGGAAATAATAAAGTACATTTAAAGCAACTTACAAAACATTATCTGAAGGATTAAAGTGTGGATGCTGAGTATACAGAGAGTAAGAGGGGAAGGATTCTGGGAAAGCTGTAAGAGCCTTGGGTGGCAGCCAGTACCAGCCTGCCAGTTGCTCTTGTCTATAATCATGCCAGCATTAGAGCTTTCATAAATCTTGGGAGGGAAGGAGCGGAGAGACTATTTCCAGGGTATTAATGCCAGGGTAATTAGAAATATCGCCCAGTCTCTCCAATTAGTGCCAACAGAATCCAAAATACCAGCCAGTCTGAGTAAGCGGAATACCAGTCGGTCTCTGTGCGAGTCTGGGGAATGTACAATACCAGCTCTCGAAGAAAAATAGATACAAACACAGCTTTTTGTTTTGTTATTGCTATGAAGCTGAAGATAACAAAAGTGTTTGGGGGTATCTGCAAAGATTTAACCCAACAGTTTGAAAATCTGGATTTTTTTTGGTGCCTTGCTTGTATTTTAGGCACCGTAGCCGGCGTACTACAGGTGCTGCTTCCCCAGCCTTTGCTCTTCACCCAGCCGTCACGGCACATCTGTTTTATCAATCCATGCACCGAGCCGTTGGCCACCGTCCTTCACTAGGGAAGAAAGGCGTAGGAAAATGATCCAAGTATAGATGTATTCTTAAGCAGAAAGCAAAAAGRAAAAAAACTCTCATTTTCAAATGCTTTAAAAATACTGAAGTTGAGTTGATTTTAAAGAGTTAAGGAGAAAATAAATCATGGCATCTGAATCTGTACAAGAAAGCTTATGGAAGAAAAATATTACTAATGCAGTCATCAATGGATATTTTATTAAGACACTAGATTGGTAATTCTGTTTTGTATAACCTGGATATTAAATATATTACCTCAGAGCTGGGGAATGCTGTCACCCATACTTTGGTCCAAAAGGATTTCTATGAAATAACTCTGTGCCAAGGGTTTAAGATCTGATAAACCTCTTCCCATATATAAAGAACTTTTGTTTTCGGATTAATTATSATCTTCCGATTTTACACCTTCCTTTAGCTCTACAGTAAAGCAGAGTCAGAACCAGACCAGGTGCAGAAATTTTAAGAAGATTGTGTATAAAAACAAGTTCTAGAGTTAATGTAGACTATTGCTGTATACATAAAAGTAAGTTATGGCTCTTTGCCAGTGTACTAAATGTCCCTGAGGTGCCTCCAAATTGTTATGCAGTGCGGGAGSTGAACAATTGTTTCTAGCTAGGGAAACACATTTTGGAGATTTACTATAAACTTATTGTGAAATTCTTGCTTCTGTGATGCAATCTGAGTKAGAAGAGGTGGAAATGGATATAGGCTGAAGAATGGCAAGCAAAAAATGTGTCCCACTTGGACATTTTTGAAATCTTCAAAGATAAAGTGATGATTGACTGTGGAAGAAGTAGCGTGCATGGGAGGCACGACAGTGTTCTTGGAGGCATCAGCGTATTAGGCCCTTAGCTACATGGAGGGGCATCTCAATAAATAATTCTCCTGATGGTCAGCCTAGGAAATCTGGAGTCTTCTGTCAAGCTGCTGCGTCACGTGAAATGCACAGTCTTGTCCAGTCTTACTGAGGCTCTAAGGCCCTTAGTTTTACCAAGATAACCCAAAACCTGTAGAGATAGATCCCCAAAAACATTGGCATTGCACAGCTGCATACATCCGAAGAAGTTGTAGAGATGACCATTAGTTTACTCTTGGGGGCCAATTTGAGTGCATGATTATTCTTTGTTGGGTAGGTTTTTCATCCGCTCTACTTCTTGGTATTCTACTTCATTATGTTATTGTCTGTTACTTTTTCATTTCAGTTTTGAGATTAGAGACACCTTGCTAATTAGTCCAGGTCTATTCTCAGTCCTAAAAGATTTCAAAGCAAATATTTCCTGTGTGAGAGCAGTCAGACACAGAAAAAGAGCAATTTCTCTTTGGCATCTGCAAAAAGCTCAGCTGTGTTTTTATCCTGAATAGACCATACAAAGTTGGGCTGGATTGAAAGGATTTTACTTTCTGTTAAATGTGGAGGGGAGGGAAAGAACTTGGATCTTCTAGTCCTCAGCTGTAAGCTGTAAGGTACTTGATGTACCTTAGGAAGGACTTGGGAGCTGGAGAGTTGTCTTGATATTATTTCTTGCTCTTACGTTATCTTGGCTTTATCAGAGCTCGTTATAGCCCCAGGTCAGATTAACGGGAAGTTCCCACAAAGAGAGCCTCTTGGAAAGCCAAGTTTCTTGAAGTTTACTGCTGTCTAACAAATCCTCTCTGCTTGTCTGGTGCCGCTTGATCTGAACAAGCAGCTGGGCAGAGTTCGGGGTTGCCCCATGGTGGGTCAACGTGTCCTGCCCTGGAGGGCGCAGCGCTGTGGGCTGTGCTCGCCCTTCCCACATGGACACAGCTGGAGTTTGTCCTGGGCTGACTGTGGGGAGCGAGAGCCCTCTTGTGGGATAAAGCATTTTTGAAGGATTTACAGAGAATTCGCACTGCCAAGAAACTTGGGTTGCAAGTTTTCTCTGAGCCTGGGACCTGATTCTTTCTGAGACAAGTTTCACATTTAGCTTGTAAACTTTTTGTCTAATAAGTAGGATAAATTGCACTTCAAGTGAAAGGACAGGAGCTGAAATGCAACTCATAGAGATAGAAATCTGACAGAAAAAGGAATCTGACAGCTGATCGTGTTGATAAGTCTTATTTTAAATAACATAGCAATGCTGTCAGTGACTTGCAGGTCTCTGCACAGAGCTTGTGTAAAAGTAGCAAGTTATAACATCATTCGACAGTTATTTTTCAAAGGAAGAAATAAAATAAGCAATGCATGCTTTCATTTCATAGCTCTCCAGTTATGGCTCGTTTTCTTTCTAGGGAAAAAGGAACAGTGGTTTCAGAGAATGCTACTTCGGGAGCCAGAAGCACTGCAAGCTGACCAAGCTTTGCCCAGCTTTGGGATACACCTTCCGATTAGCAGCCCAGAATGACATTGGTACTAGGTAGGTTATTCCTAAGCATTGTGCATTGCACAGAGAAGAGGTGACAGTTAAAAGGTTTAACTCACAGTGCCAATGTGAAGTGGGGCTTCCGTTTTTTTCTTTTTATTTCTTTTTTTTTTAATCTGTTTTTAATGCAAGAAGAATACATCTGTTATATAAAATTCCCACCAGGGACCTCTGGGAACCAAGAAAAACAAGCAAGAGGAAGCGGAGTTACAGATTTTGGAAGGAATTTTGATGTATTTATTTTTTTATTTTAAATCAATGTCCTTCTGTCTTCTTTTCAGCAGTACAGCCTCTTCCTTCTTTGGCAGGGCTGGCATAATATACAAAAATATGTATATTWTATATATATATATGTATATATGACTATATGTATTTATAGTATTCCTCTCTTGCTTTCTCCCTCTCTGACTCGCTGTGCAGTGGCTACAGCCAGGAAGTGGTCTGCTACACTGCAGGTAATATTCCTCAGACGCCTTCTGCGCCAAGACTTGTTCGAGCTGGTGTCACATGGATCACGTTGCAGTGGAATAAAGTAGAAGGATGTACACCAGAGGAAGCGATTTCTTACACCCTGGAAATTCAGGAAGAAGATAATGTAAGCACTGTGTTACTACTCAGCAGAGCAGAGTGGATTTTCATTTTTTAATTCATTTATTTCAACTTTAAGAAGAGTGTGAGTTGCTATTGTTGAGAGCCATTTTTAATATTCTTATGAAGATTATATGAGGACTCTTTGAAACTTTATGAAATAGAAAAGTTATTTTAATAAAACAGCCTCCCTCTGCATCCCTTCTCTGCAAGCAGCTGGATGTGGAGGAAGACCCCAAGTCAGGCACTGACTTGGCAGGAGGGAGCTCAGTGATTTGTTCTGCTCCACACTGGCAACTAGGTCCTTAACTAAACGCTTAAAAATGTATTTTGTTCTCCAGAATTCCCTTGAAAAACTGCACAAGAGTCCGTAGGATATAAGGCAATCTGTCCTTAAGCAGGTCAGTTGTCCRTGTTCTACTCACGCTTGTGTGGTCTGCTTGCTGCTGCAGATCTGACACTTTTAGAGACTTTTAGAGAAAAGTCTTGTGACCTAGTAGAAAAAAAAAAGCCACCCCACTTTAAAAGCCCTTTGATTCAATGGGTTCTAGCTGCATATTGTGATCTAGAGAGCTGTTTTTCAAACTTCCTAGTTAATGACAATGTGTTTTTGCTTTTTTCTAGGATACTGTGTTTCACCCAAAGTACACTGGAGAGGAGCAAACCTGTACTGTGAAGAATCTCAGAAGAAGCACACAGTATAAATTCAGGGTAAATTTAGAGGAGGTCATTTTCCTCTCGTCATTCAATAGTATTTTGCATGTTGTTTGCTTTTTTTCCAGGCACTCTAGGGACCCTTTACTATTGCCTGCAAAAATGAGCCATCAAATAAAAATTCTACTAATAATATAAGGAATTATTTTATATTAAAACTGGAAAAGTTAAAATGTTAGTCCTCTTTTAACCATGGAAGTTCCCTATTGCTCAGATTTTCTGAAACAGGCATAATTCTTGGTACTGTGTCCTACAGAGTACAGTCTTGTAAAAAGATGAATTTGGGTCCAAGGTGATAATGAATTTTAGTCAGCTGGATTTCTCCCTCCAAATGGCTGGTGTGTGGTTATAAGACCAATTTAACCCCCATACAGTTGAGAAGGACACTCAAAGGAGCCCAGCAATGCACTYTTGCCTCGGGGTATAGGCTTCAACTGGGCCACAGAAAACTAAGCTTTTCCATAAAAGWGATGGCTCTCAGGTGTGCGTAGGTCTTTGCTTTGCTTTGATTTAGCAGATGTTAGTAGCTCCTGCTCTGTGAGTGCTCCAGAGCAGATGAGCCTCCAATGCAGATACTTTGGAATCTACTTCTGCACATACAGAAGTCAGAAATCTGCCTTACTGACTCTTGAAGCCATGTGGCACAGTAGAAGTGCTGCAATCAACTGAAAAAGAAGTGTGATTTTTTACAAAATGAGGTGTGTTAAAGCAAGGCTGGCTCCCGTGGCAGCATTTGCAGAGCCAGGGCAGTGGAGGGCCTGCTGCTCCAGGAGATGGAGATGCCCAGCATGCAGCCCAGGATTGCATTGCAAAGCTCCTGTGATYGTCTAAGGGAAGAGAATTTAGTGGGGYTTTGTTTGTTTGTTCTACTTTAAAATTAAAAATGAATTTGTCCAARCTGCATTGATATTGCAGTAAACTGCATTTCTTCCTCCTGTCACTGGCTGCAGGCACAACCCTGAGCTGCCAGTACTGGGATATTYACTCATGCTGTGCAGACCAGTGTTCATTAGCCATGCAACATGGATAAGAGGCCCCAACCTGTAAAAGAACTAATGTCGTGGCAGTATTTTTATACTGGCTCATTCTAGGCTTATCTTTGAACCTTGGCAAAGTGAGGGGTTGACTGATACGGGACTTGGGCTAATAAAATGAAAGAGGAAATTTAATTTCTCATTCCATGCATGCTTACAGAAGAGGTACCCTGCTTAGCTAGCGCCTTTGATGAAATTAGTTTGGTTCATTACAGTGATAATGGAAGCATAATATGCCTTTGTAAAATGGCCCATTTAATATGGAATGAGAATTTGACAAAGAAAGGTAAATGATAGAAATCTTAATATGAAAATGTATAGAAACCACATTCTCTGAAATGTTTGAAAGCTCAGCACAAAAAGGAATCACCAGTGGCTGTTCCCAGTGCTACTGGGCACTATTTCATACTTGTGAAGTAGCCTGGGAGGAAACAAGGTTTTATTTCTAGTGACAGGATGGAGGGCTGTAGGCTGGGGAAGCAAGAACTCTGAGAAAGGGTTGAATGTTTAATAAGAATTTTCAGTTCCTACGAAGCTAGTACAATCTTTAGCCATATAAACAAGGTAATTTATAAGTTTAAGAAACAATGTTTTATTGGTTTAAAAAATAGTGTTTTATTGCGTCTGCATCTGGCACTGATCCCTAGTGGTGTTGTTTGGATGTGTGGCGAGTTCATGTAGCTGGTGATCACGTCAGGGCTTCTTAAAGCAGAAAATATTCAGAGAAGGACCAAGAAGAATACATGATTAGAAAATATGGCATTTTTTTTAAATGCCACAGCACTTTAGCAGGTAGACAGGTCAATGGGGATCTCCAGTGTGGATGAAACTTTGGTAATTTGATTTTTCAATTTAGCAAGTCAGAAAGTGTTTATTTGCAGAAAATTATAGGCCAAGCAAATTCAGGTGTTTCAGGGGAAACACTTGGGTGGTAATGATTGATTCTTTTTGCCGTCATTTATTATTTTGGAGATCAGATACAAATGAAGATGGTATGTCCTAGTTCCATTTCCTAGTCCTATTTTCTGTGTTAATATTTTACATCTTCATAGGACATGTGTAACTASAGGGGCTGGCATGACTTTTAAAGGAGAAAGCCTCTAATTCCCGTATCCAGACTTAACATGATATAGTGCTAATGGAGCACTAGGAAATTCCTTGTGGCTTCTGAAGAAGGAACACAACAGATATTTAATATGAGAAATCCACACTATTTTGGATCTGATGTGCTTTCTGTTTTCGTATTTGTGCAACCATTAAGGGAAGTCTTATGGAGAGCTATAAGAAAAGGAAATAATATTATTTTTGCTGTGTTTTTCTTTCAGTTGTTTGCTTCTAATGTGGAAGGAAAGAGTTCTCCAAGTGAAATTTTGGTCTGTACCACAAGCCCAGACAGGCCAGGACCTCCAACCAGGCCCATAATTAAAGGGCCGATAACATCCCATGGCTTTAGTGTAAAATGGGGTAAGGCAACCCAGTTTATCATGCTACAGCTTTGGCAGGTCATTATCTACATTACTGATTTCAAGTAAAATTGTACAGATGCAGATTGTACAGATCATGTTATAACTCAGATTTTTCATGCAACTTGTCAGCTTGGAGCTGAAAGGGTTTGGAGAGCTTCACGGCTGCAGTTATTTGACTACTCAAAAAGCACTAAAATGTAAAAGTACTCATTTGCCAAGGCAAAAGCATTGTTTGTGTTAATTAAGTTGTTTTCACTTGACTGCTGTGCCCAGGGTTTGCATGGTCCCTTTCATGTCCCTTTTCACATTCATGCTGCTTGTCATTCTGTCTGCTTCCTTCAGCAAGGATGCAAACCTCCACACTTAGCACAATTATCCCTATCTTTTTTCAATCATTTTTCCATGAGTTTTATCTTTGAGATGATATCCAGTCACCTTATTTTGACTCATTCTAAAAAAAATAATAATTTCTACTGCTATATTTATTCTGCTGTAAGACTTCACTCCTGAAGTTGTGGGGGAAGTTCGTTTATGAGGAGAAAGAGCAGAATCAGAATCAGTTTCTGTTAATTTTACGGTATTTCTTTTACCTCTAATCTAATGTAGTGATACCTTGTTTTTCAGATCCTCCACAGGATAATGGTGGTTCAGAAATTCTAAAATATCTATTAGAGATTTCCCAAGGAAATTCAGAAGGTGGGTTTGACACAGTTTTATCCCTTTCCACTCATAATGACTGCCATAATGGAGTAATGATCTTTTGGGCTATGATCGTTTCTTATGCTATTTTTACCTGATTATCTTTAAGAACTGATTGCATCAAGTATCTTAAGTGGCATTTTTAGCTACATAAGTTGACATCTTCCCAGGGCTCTATGAATTATAACAGATATGGAACAGAAAACTAATTTTTTTTGTTGAAATAGATGTAAGGAAAGAAAGAAAGAAATCATGTCTTATGTCATAACAGCAAATATTAGTGCTCCCTGGACACAGCTTAAACAGAAAGATAAATCTAGGACTGCTTAGTAAGTTAAACTGTACAAATTATAGAGTATTATTGTCATTAACATTCTAATGCTACAGATCTGAGTAAAATTTCCAGGGTTCCCAGGAGAGTTTGCATTATAGGAGGGAGGGGGAGCTATTTACTTACCTATTTTTTCTCCTTTTCTGTAAGATGGCTGGAATTTTAGACTGTAGGGCTGAACTTACTGTGCGACTGTACATCTATGTGTATTTATAAAATGTTTCTATGTATATGTAGGYCTTTAAGGAGGAATATTAGCAGTATAAATACTTTCTTAAAATAATTTATGGAAAGCCTCATTAAAAATTTTTTCTTGCTCAATGTGAGTAATTATGTATTGCATTTTCCCGTGTCTAAATGTGCATRTACCTCATCTTTTAGCCAATCAATGGGAAGTGGCATATAGTGGATCAGCTACAGAATATACCTGTACTCACTTGAAACCAGGCACTTTGTATAAACTCCGGGCATGCTGCATCAGCACAGGTGGACACAGTCAGGTAAGTATTATTTAAGAACTCTTGTTTTTATATATTTTTCAGACATTTATGTGTTAATTATGCTAAATCATTTCTGCTTTAAAAAAATTTTTTTTTTCCTCAAGTTTAGTCTTTGAATGCAGTATAGCCACAGCAGTTTTAGTTAATGATCTCTCGCAAGTTGCAACATTTTTGGAAGTTTTCTTTACTTGTTTGTTTGTTTGTTTGTTTGTGTTTCAGGCAAAACACAATTTAGTGGGTTTTCTTTCCTCAAAAGCAATCTGAAGATACTTAGATTTAGGGTAGGAAAGACCATAATATTTATCTGATCCGACTGCTTGCTTGAGAAAGGCTGTAGAATCTTCTCTACTGTAGGCCTATACTGCCCTAATTGGGTGACATCAGAAGATACAGTGTGTAGCTTGCTGTAATAGTTAATCACCAATTGGGTGACATCAGAAGATACAGTGTGTAGCTTGCTGTAATAGTTAATCACCTATTATGTGGTTGAAATCTTTATACTTTTTACTTATATTTTTCCACACACTGATTCTTGTCATTCCCATTATTCTTTGAGTTAAAAACATTTTAGTACTGACATTTTTATTCCTCTGCATATCACTTTTTATGAGAAATTGAAGAGTTCTTTAGTGCTTGGTATGAAAATAAAAATATAGAGCCAAGCACAATTGTCCAGCAGATTTCCTCAGGTGAAATTTTCAATTATGATAATGCAAGGACTCTTTTTGTTGCTTTTGTAAATAATATGTTTCATAGTTTCTCATATCCTCTCTATATAAGTGCTTAATGTGCCAGTATAGTATTTTAGAAATGCCAGTGGTAGGAAATATTTTCTTGTTATCACTTTCTAATTCATGCATCACATATAGGCATATATATGGGCATATAGGTAATCTTCCTGGAGTATTAACTGCAGTTCCCGTTCTTTTCCAGTGTTCTGAAAGTTTACCTGTCCGTACGCTAAGTGTTGCACCAGGTCCCTGCCGGCCACCAAGGATTTTAGGGAAGCTGAAGCACAAAGAAGTTCAGCTGCAATGGGGTAAGTGGCTGGAGCATGTCCTTGGGCAATAGCTTGGCTTTAGACTGCTGGTTGCAAAGCCTTCGTCAGCTTTTATTTGTACTGCCGGATTTTATGAGAAATTGCAGTGTGTTCTGCCCAATTCCAGTAAAATCTGTGCAAGTCAGAAGTAAAATTCTTCATCGGCTTCTGTGGCTCTGAATGGACCTCTCTGAACTTGGTTGACTTTCAGTYGCCCTTTGGGCCTGAAACTGTAATCCCACTGTTGTTAATTAGGACCTATCTGTATGTCAAGGCTATAACATAGCTGCTGTATTAGAGTATTTTTCCTTTTATCTCAAAAATACTGTGTGATTCACATACTGATTTAGTAGAAGCATTTTACTAGTTCCAATTTAAAACTGCACTCAGAAATCTGAGTCAGAGCATCTTGGGTGGTATTTAAATCTCAATCCACAAAATAACACCAAAAGAATCATTGGAAGCTTGTAATTTTGAAAACTACATGGATGGTAGACAGGACACTAAAAAATGCATGTTTTTTCCAATTCTTTGGAAAAAGAAAAACTTTTTTTTATAATTCTTTGATCACTATGATAAACTTKCAGCATCCAAGATTCTTCTTTATCTCTTCATGTTCTTTAGCATCATCTGTAAAATTAAATATTGGAAGTGTCTACTAGAGCATCACTATTTCTAACAGACAGATATATTTCAAAATTTTAGTTGTGTGTTCAGTGTTTCGTATTGTTTCTTTGAAGATTTAATCTGAGGATGGAGCAACACTTTTCAGAACTCCATGTGGGGTTGGTTCTGTGACGCTGGCTTAAGATCTGATGTGAAAATATTACCAAAAACAATATTTTTATGGTGAGCAAAGTGTCCACAAAGAATTGGGTATGGACACAAAAAAAGTTCAGTTTCCAAAAAAGCTGTTATTCCAGCTCAAGTTCAAGATTTACATCATTGTATAGAGATCTGGATCCTCATAAATATTTTGTAATATTTTATTGCATTCAGAGTGACTAATAAATTTTGAGGATAGCAGGGCAGTTGCTTATGTCTTTATTAGGTGTTATTGGTGCCTTACCCGAAATCCCATGTTTAAGCAGTAGATTTTGAGGGTACAAGACCTCTACTAATGTGTGTCCAAACAAAACCAGGAGCCAAGATTACATCAGGCAGCCACCATGTGCTGCTCCAGGAAGAATATGTTTAGCGTTAGCTCCATTCTTTGTGTGTTTTTCTCTGCCCTTTCTTGTGACTTGTGCACGGTGCGGTGGATCGAGGRCTGGCTGGATGGCAGAGCTCAGAGGGTGGTCATAAATKGGGCCSAGTCCAGTTGGAGGCCTGTGGCCAGTGGTGTCCCCCAGGGGTCAGTACTGGGCCCAGTGCTGTTCAACTTGTTTATCAATGACCTGGACGAGGGCAC